GTAGCCGCTGGCCAAAGGAGAGAGAACTGTAGAGGGGATAAAAGACTCATATATGAGACATAGCTCCGAGAAAATGCAATCATGGGGAGTGGGAGGAGCTGACGACTCACAAGTAGGGGAGGAAGCAAAGATGAGAAGACAAGAAACACAAACAAACAGAAAAAGTAAAAAACTCTCACTGAGGAGAGGATGAACTCTCACAAGGGAGAGAGGAGACTCTCACAGAGAAGAGAGAGGAAAGTAGGGACTTGTCACTTGTACAAAGAGAAACCAGGGGAGGAAGTGAGGAGGAACCAAGACCTCCTCCCCAAGTGCGGTGCCAAAGGGTGTTTTTTCTCTCAGAGAAGAGAGAGAGGTTTTTCTCACCCTAACAAACCATAGGCAAAGAGAAAACAATAAATAAAAAAAAATAAAAAAAAGAAGAAGAGAAATTAACAATCTTAATTAAGGGAGTGAACCCAATTGAAACTTGATAATTTGGCAACAACAAAAAAAATTAAATTAAATTAACTTGATAATATATTATATGGAGAATAAGAGAATAAATACCCACAAATCTAGAGAAATGGGTGAAAATGACTATTAGATTTGAAGGACTTGTGTAAAAAATAATAATATGTATACTAAAATTTTAGAATATTGATCTAAAACATGAAAAAAGATGTAAACTTGAAGAGAAAACATTAGAAATATTAGAAGTATTATAAAAGATATTAATATGTAATCTTTTTTAGGGGTAATTACATTTTTTGTTACTGGGGTTATGGTCGAATTTAAATTTGGTCATTAAAATTTTAATTTTTTGATTTTGGTTACTGAGGTTAGCTTCGTCAGCAAATCAAGTTGGCAATTAATTGGCATGTGTTGCGTGCATACAAGGGCATTATTGCCTTTTCCCCCACCCCATCTTTCTATCAACTCGGATCAAGTGAGAACACTAAAATGAGAATCTTATATAAGAATCAATCCCAACCATCTAAATTATCTGAACAGCTGAAGAGAAAAAGCAAGCTTACAATACAAATGGGTACGCTACACTTCCCCTTAGCCCCTGTGTCCTGCTGCGCGTTCTCAATCGCGCCTTTCTTTCTACTCGTGCCTTTATTTTTCAGAGTTTCTTGTTCCCAGATTCTCCTCTCAATACCATTTCCTGTTTTCCTTGGTCAGAATCGATACCTTTCTCCTTAGAACTCCCTCTCTCTTCCTCTGCCGTCTCAGTTTCCCTAATTCGATATGCATCTCTGTCTTGCTCTCTCAGCTTCTCTTTTGGTATATCTTTCATTTTTATGCAGACCTTGTACAAATAAAACCCCCTTTCTCTCTTACTTCCCTTTTTTCTTCTCTCTCTGCCCAAATACAAATACAACTCTAGCTTTAGAATTCTCAAAGCCATTGTCAATGGCGGTCTTAGAGACAGAGTGCTCGTTTGCAAAGTCTCGATCATCGTTGTCAGCCTCATCCAGCAGTTCTGACTACCTCTACGGTTACATCCGTTTTCCCACTTCCTATGACGTCATCTTCAGCAAGTTCACCTATATCTCATTGATCAAGCTCTTCTTATTTAATTGTCAACATCCTTAAATCTAAACATGTTTTTGTCAACCTAAAAATTTCTGCGGCTGAAATGGGTGAATGATGGGTTTATAGTTTAGGGTATAGATTTGTTGAAATTTATTTATTAATCCATTTTGGGAATTTTAATGGGATCCTTACAAATCAATGGTGTTCATGGTGGATTTGGGTTAATTTGGGGGTTTAAGGGTTCAAATCTACGTAGGACGTGGAAATAGTCTTTTCTACCTTAATCGCTTTTGGGTTATTATGCCGATGGTGCTTACCACAGTCTTGCTCTTGTTGGTGAGTTTTAGCTTGTAGTCAAATTTTGATGTTTTTACTAGTAATTGGGTTCTCAAAAAAGTGAAAATTCCATTATGAAATGGGCATTTAGAATTGTTCAAATGATTGTTGTGAGTTTATTCAGTCTTTGATTTTTAGATGGTATGTTGGTGTTGCACAAAGATAAGGATTTATTCTTGTATGTTTGGAAATTTCAGTGCTTTGGAAAATGTTGTATTTGTTCAGAACCATAAACTATGACCTTGTTTTATTGTTGATTTTCTTGTTGAAGTAACTTTTCATGTTTTTGGTTCTCACATTGCAGAACTCTAATGTTAGTTGATAATTCATTTGGAAAGCTTCTTGATCATCTCCTAATAGAAATTTTCATTCGAGTTACTGTCTCAGAGTGGGCACAAATATCTTCTGTCAAAAAACAGTGGGCCAATCTGTTTGTGGAGAATGCTTGTAGCAAGCTGCTCTTGCTACAACATATCCTTTGGCTAACCAAGCTCAAAGGTGGCTTGGACCTATCCCTCGAGGGTTGAGCAAGAGGTAGCATAACATTTCTCCTTGCGATGGTCATTTCTTTTTTCTTGCTTTCTATCCATTTCTAACTTTCCAATTTCTCTTATCTCTTTTAATAATTACTTTCTTCTGAGTTTTTATGTTATGTTGTTCTGGATTTCTAGTGAAGAATCCCCTTTCCCATCCTAAGCAGATAGTTGTGACTCTCCCCTAAGATCCACCTTACAATCTTGGTTCCAAATCAATGCAGAAAAAACAACTTAGACTTACAAGTGCAAGGATATCTTTTACAGTAGCTGTTGGTCTGGTGCATGTGCTTCACTTCAAAATCCATGCATTATATTTTGCTAAGCTATTGACAATTTTCTCAGGAGATTTGCAGCTTTATATGTATGTTCTAACTTTACTTGTGTGATGGCAAATGATGGATCAGTTTGGTGCTGGGGTTACAACATATGTATCCTTCACCATAGGGTTATATACAGCTTTCATTAATTCTCCACAATGAAAGAATTTAGTTATGGAAAGTGCATCCCTAGTTCTTTGTGTTTGCTCCTTGTTTATGTTGTTTACATTCTTAACTGTTGAATGGATGGCCAACCTTGTGTAAATGGAGAAAATTTTATGATGCCCTACTTATTGGAATGGTTCCTTGAGGTGTAATCTGTGACAAAGAGTGAAGTGCCATTACAGGTATGGAAAGAATTGTTTCGCTGCTGCATTAAATACCTGATGAAGATAAGGGCCTTATGTTTTGGTTTTTTTGTTGTTGCCAAAGCTGTCTACATCAGATTTGTTCTTTTAAAGCTGGAGGAATGATGTCTCTAGCCATTGATAATAATCTTGGTGGCCTTTAGATGTGGGGTAATTCCCACTTCTTAACCAATTCTACATTATATGTGAACCCACTATTGTTATATCATCTCTACAATTAATTTTAAAAAAGATAAACCCCAAAGATGTAGAAAGTGTCACAAGAAGCTTTTAGATTTTTTTTTCTTTTTTTTTAAATGTATTTTTCTGCTATTTAATGAATTATTATGATTTTTGGAAGTTAAATAATTCAAAAATAGTAATAAACGGAAGAGAATGACAAGTGGCAGCACTTGAATGGTGCTTTGTTAGTGCTTCTGACAGGTGTCATTCTTGTGAGCGACAGGTGTCATTCTTGTGAGCGGCATGTGTCATTAGAGTTTCAATTTTATGTGTTAACCTTAAAAATTTCCCAAATTTTTTTTATAAAAAGTCATAAATACACCGAGAATTTCTACAAACTCGTTGCAACATTATCTTCAACTAGGGATCGTAAAAATCTAAATTTGAAGTAATAATTAGAGGAAGTGTAATGATCTTCAACTTAGTGTATCATGCTTGTTGCGTATTTTAGGCTATCTATGAGGATAATGGGTCATTTATGTATCATCATGCACCATACGGCACATATGCAACATCTCTCTTGAATTTACTTTTGAATATCAGCTTTGTTCTTTATATTTATTTTTTAATGCCCCTTCCAATTTGGTTTAAAATTCAGGACCTTGATAAACCACCTCTTACATGAGAAACTTTTTTCTATCCTGGCATTATTGTGTATCATTCTTATTGCATATTTCAGGCTGTCTATGGGGTTAATGGATCATTTATATATCATCATGGATATGGTTATGCACCCTACGACACATATGCCACATCTCTGTTAATGATACTTTTGAATGTCAATGTCCCTTCCAATTTTGTTTAAAATTCAGGACCTTAAGAAACCCTTAATATAAAAGTAGGGAGGGGGAAGGGCCCGGACCACACTAGTTTGCCCTTGCTTGGGTTCGCGTTTGTCGGGTCTCGCTTTATGTCTTCCGAGCACAATTTGTTTTTTCAAATTACTATTTTCAAAATTTGATACGATACACATGATTTGCCTCAATTTGTTTCGAATTACAAATTAAAAACTTTACAGAACACCCCTTTCAGAAATCATATATTTAAACAGTAGCGCTACGGGTATCAACTTATATACCAACTTTTGGTTACCAACTGATATAGCATATAACATGGATTGTCATGTCACGTGCCACATCATCAATTTTAATTTAGTTAATTTAGTATTTTTTTTATAACTATTTTCATTTAAATCATTAAGCAGTTTAACAATCCCTCCCCCGCCACAACAATATTACCTCAACACCATCGCCGCCACACTATCATCCTTCAAACATCTATGGAGCCGATATGGCTTTTCTCTTTTGCTGGTTTAACCACGGCCTAGAAATTCCAAGTTGATTTGGGGAAATACTATGATGGAATGGAGAGGATGATATGGCACCACGGATTAATCTCAAATAGTATTCAGTTCCATGGATATATGCAACCAAGCAACAATATTTTTCCAGATTTGAAGGGAGGGTGGATATGCTCCCAATTTGGGTTGAATTAAAATGGTGAGAATGAATTTTGTTTATTTAGAAGATGATAAAATTAAATAAAATTAAAAGAGATGATGTGGCACATGATATGACAGTCTATCTCATATGACACATCGGTATGTAAAAGTTGATATACTAATTGGTGCCTATAGTATTATTGATATTTAAAACTTAAATGTTAAAATAATTCCTATATTTTTATCTATACCGATCAATTTAGTCTCGTGTTATAAATATGACAAAAGTTCTAATTCCGTTTAAACTAAATATAGTAGAATTAGTGATGGGATTTCGCCCGCTCAGCTTGTTCAATGATAGGTCCAAACACTCGAGTGTGCTCATGTTACCAAATGAGGATGGGATTTCGCCTGTGAAAGCATTTTTGGACAAATTAAGGACACGTAGTGATTTAAATTCTCCCATTTCCTTAGGTATTGGTCCACTGAAATTGTTGCATGAGAAGTCAATCAAGGTGAAGATAGATAGAATCTTTACCAAATTCATCTCTGAACCTTTGTTGGTAACTGTTGTACTTATATCATACCCAAAGCCCAAAGAAACCTCCTCCAATCCATATCCGTCATTTGGGACAAATGGATTAAATATCCTTCTAAGATAGTGGCCGTTGATTGTCAATAGGGAACCATCTTCGGTAACCATCATTTTCTGCCATGTTCTCCAAAGTATTCCCTGTATTTCACCACGGAAATTATTGTGAGCTAGGTCTATGATTTGTAGCCCCGGCCATGTGACATTGGTGTTGAGACATTCAATGCCCCCATAAAAGTTGTTGGACCGTACAACAAGGACACGCAAGGTGGAAATGCTCTTCAACAAGCATGGGAAGGTATCTGTTATATTATTGTTTCCCATGTTTAAAACCTTCAACTTAGTGCATTTAGCTAGAGATTTTGGAACCTGGCCCCCTAACCGATTTGTAGCGAACTCTAGAATTTCCAATGAACTATTTTCAGAAACTTCAACATTAGAAATAGTTCCAGTGAGGTTGTTTCTCGCTAAATTAAGTACACTGATATCGCGTATTGCAGTCAAGCATTGGGGAATCATGCCACTGAGAGAATTATTAGACATATCAAGAATCTGAATTTGGGAATTGCATATTGATGTTGGAATGAGCCCATGCAAGTTATTGCTCGAAAGAGAGAAGAACAGTGTGTTTGTGAGGAAATCACCAATATTTGATGGTATAGAGCGGAAATTATTTCTCGAGTAATCCAGATACTTGGCAAATGGTAGGAAAGTGGGGATTTGTCCCTGAAGTTGATTTGAATGAAGGTCAACAGTTTTCACTGTAGAATTATATAAATGAGGTTCCAGAGTAGCCAAGGAGTTACAAGAAAGATTTAGGGAATCAAGTTGATTGGAACTCCAAATCCAATGGGGTATCTTGCCCTGGATATGGTTTTCTGAAAGGCTCAAACTGGATAATGTGGATTGATTTCTCAAGAAATATGGGATTGTTCTCAATTTGTTAGCAGCCAAATTCAATGAAATAACTTCAGGAAATGAGGAATATGAGGAATCAGTACCATTGTATAAACTCAGCAAGCTATTGTACGAAAGGTCAATGTTCGTAAGATATTTTACCTGTTGAGGGCCATTGAACGGAAAGCCACTAAAATTGTTGGAAGAAAGCTGAAGTGATTCAAGGCCTCGAAAATTAAATATAGAAACCGGTATTTGTCCGTCCAAATGGTTGAAGCTTAAATCAAGGGTAGATAAGTCGGAAGAGACATTAGAAAATACAAGTTCACCAGAGAATTGATTGTGGGCAAGGTTTAGTTCTAGCAAAAAGGGAAGAGAAAAGAACGACGACGGGATTGATCCATAGAAATTGCAATATGAAAGATCTATCCAAGACAAAATTTTGAGGTTGCCAATGGAGTCAGGTAGTGATCCTGAAAAGTTTGTCCCACGTAGAATCAAAGACAGAAGAGATCCATTATTCTCGGGAAAATCTGGCAAGGAACCACCAAGTTTAGAATTATCCGAAAGGTCAATAGTTTGTAGAGTAGGTACCTGAAAGATCTCTTTGGGAAATGTTCCATTCAACTGACAATTACTGAGACTCAAGGAAGTCAACTTTGAAAAATTGGCAAAGAATCCTGGAATTGGATCGGAGATGGGGTTCCCACTCAAGTCTAACTCCCTCAGGTTTGGAAAGTTGGCAAAGGATCCTGGAATTGGACCGGAGATGTTGTTCGAGCTCAAGTCCAACACCCTCGGGGTTGAAAAGTTGGCAAAGGAACCTGGAATATATAAGAGATGTCGTTCCAACTCAAGTCCAACTCCCTCAGGTTTGGAAAGTTGGCAAAGGATCCTGGAATTGGACCGGAGATGCTGTTCGACCTCAAGTTCAACACCCTCAGGTTTGGAAAGTTGGCAAAGGATCCTGGAATTGGATCGAAGATACCTTCGAAACTAAGGTCAAGACCAACAACATGCCCATTGCTAGTGCAAGTAACACCACCCCAAGAACAACAGTCGGTGCTTGAATTCCAAGATATGATCAGCGGGGTTCGCCATGAAGGTGGATCAAATTGAAGGCTTTTCTTCAAATGGAGTAACGATTGTTGCTGGTCTTTAATACACTGGCTATGAACTGCAGGGAGGAGGATAATGAAGCAGAGGAGGAACAAGTAATGCAGCAAAGTATTCATTTTGGAAAAACCTTTTACTTTGAGAGACGCTAGCTGATGAGGGAAAGTTTTGATGAGAAAGAAAGGTTGTGCTGTCTTTAATATATACATATCATTATATGTAATTATATGCATGGTAGAATAGAATTGGAAAAGGACACCACTTAGCTTTGATGAGATTAAATCTTTGTCGTCGCTGATGGCTTGACTTTGAAGTCTTCTACCAATAACTAATCTTGTAGTAGTAACCAGGAAAGTGGGATAGAACAAAAATAATGATGTTCCTGCAAAAAGGCCTCCACGAGTGGAAGAGTGAGGAATCATATATTTTATGATTATACATATATATATTTGATCTTAAAAAGCAACTTTTAAACCTCAATCTTATCATTATTGTTTAAATTAAATCTTTTGCAATTCAGGGCACATTATAAAGTCAGTCAAATTTTGATGCGTCGGATTGAGAGACTATGAACATTGTGGAAATTGTGATGTGAATGTGATATTGCTTTATGGATTAACTTGTTAGACATTAAAGTTTGCCCTATTTTGTGTAGTGGGCTCGTCTACAGTCTACACGGTTTCCTACCTACTTGGATTTTTGGATGAGTGTTGACTTGGTCAAAATCAATTAGTCATAGCTCATGGCCCAGTCGAAGAAAGCAGATGATTTCTGTAGTCTAGTATTCCCATTATATCATATGCACGTATCTGTTCATGTTGATTTCTAGGTTGGAAGAGGAATTCTCCATAATCTTGGATTGGATGTTTGGTCGAACCTCAGACACAAAGATGCTGAAGAAATTTCGAACCAAAGAGCTCCATAATCTTGGATTTAAGTTCACACAATGCTCTTGTTATTATATAATTGTTGAGAGTATTTATCCCACATTAAAAAATTAAGAGAGTAAGTCTTGATTTATAAGGAGTTGTGCTACAATTTGTGTTGTGTGGTTTTTCTAAAGACAAAGCCGAGAACTCTCTAGAGAGCTCTCTTCCTCCTCCTCCATTTTGAGAGTCCCTGGCTTCTCCCCACCCGAAATGGGGGTTTTTTCCCTGAGCCTTGGCTCAGATCTGGGGCTCCTTGCCTCTACTTCGGTTTCCTTTGATTTTTTTTCTGTTTTTCCCTAAGGTAAGCCCACTCTGTGAGACCCTTTATCTCCCATATCTCCCTCTCCTTTCTTCCCAAGCCACCTTCACTTTTCACCCTCCACTTCTTACATCTATCCTCCCTTCATCACTTCTCTGTTATGTAGCCGTCCACACATGGCCAGCGACTTCGTCTGGTCGCCAGTTCTCAACCACCACCGTTTGCTCCTCGGTTCCGCGTCCACTGCTCTCGTTGTTCTTCCTCAATGGCGTGTGGTGGTCCGTGGCTGCGATTAAAGTGCATACTGCACTTGACTCTTGGATTATGGGAGCGCTTCCGCGCGGGTGGCCTCATACATATACATGCCCAATTTACTTACTTCTTTTGCTTAGTTCCTATAATTCTAAGTTATTTCCCTCCCTTTGTGTGTTTTGTAGGCCAATAGAGCAAGAGAGCATAATTCATGCAATTCAAGCATGTTAAGGCCTAATTTGGATGAATGGATGAAGAGCTTAAAGACAAACTCATTTTGGCTACAGCCCCTTGCCAGTCCATTTCCGTAGGTCACATTGCAATATTTGTTTCAGCAACCTGCACAGCTCGGATGAGGCCGCATTTTGCATGAAAATTGTTCCAATGGGTGTGTACTATAACATATCCAAAATTCAGCCCCATTGGATAAATATGTAGTCAATTATATGACATCGGACCTCTTTATTTTTTAATTTTTTTTCTAACTTCCTTCAATTAACTAATTACTATCAAAAGAAAAAAAAAAGTGAAAACCAAGTTAAAGATTTGTTAATGGTAATCATATTCATTCTCATATGCCGCACAATCTATAGATTGAGAATTTCATTTTCCAAAAAATTAACGTGATGATCTCCTTAGTGGTGTGGATAGTCCTTTGAAATTTAGTTACAAAATTTGCATATAGTGATTGTATTATACTCATATTTACAAGTTATTCACATTTAATATATGTATTTTTTACAAAAAATTTAAATAATACAAGTAAACTTCATGTATTATACACATATCTTTGTACATATTATTAAGTAAAATACTACACTCTAAAATTTTGAATAATTAATATTGAAATACTCTATATTCCTTTTTTTAGTTAGATAATATGTGTAAACATTTTATTCGTATTTTTTATAGAGGAATCCTCTATAATCTTGGATTGGACGTGAAGATATATGCTGAGGAAATTTCAAACAAGGAGCTCCATAATATAACAACCTTGCATGTCTTTTATCATCCCTACTTTCAATTAATATTGAAACACTATTGCTTTTTTTTTTACCGATAATATTTTTTGATTTCTTGGTTGGAAAGAAGACGATTTCGCGCAAATCAAGGATTCCGCGTCCGAATAATGAAAATGCACTTTAGACTAGGTCCAAATAATCTGGACCATTTGTCCTTTATGATGCTCCCAGATTTTTAAAAAAATTGGTTACAGGTTATACAAGTTATCAAGTTTCCACTTTTTGAAAATGCAATTGCATAAGGGTCATGCAATTATGCCCTTCCTGTTTGGCAATTGGCATATGATTGGATAGTGATTTACAGTAGTTTGGATATGAGAATACCATAACATTGTAAGAGGATCCTAAAACTTATAAGTTATAAGATTTGGGTAGCGGTTTACAAATTTTTGAACCATGATTACAACATTAGGGTTCACCTAATCCATAATGTTGTAAATACTCATTTACAAGGATATGGATCCACATTACAAGGAATTGGTAAATCCGGACCATGAGGATGTAAATTGGGTCCTTATTCTAATAAAATGAGGGTTTACAAGATTAAGGGCTGATTTTACAATTTTGGGATACGAGGGTACCAAAACATTGTAAAAAGAATCCCTAAACTCGTAACTTCTAAGTTTTTGGTAACAATTTACAACGTTTTGCTCATGGATTACAATGTTAGGGTTCACCAAATCCATAATGTTATAAATCATATATTTACAAAAATATAGATCCATATTACAAAGGATTGGTAATAGTGGACATTAGGGATGTAAATTGGGCCCTTATTCTAGTAAACAATGGTTAAGGATGGATTTTACAATCATATGGAACATAAATGTCCAAAATAGAGTAATACGAGACCTTAATATTGTAAATATTTGTGTTTACAAGTATAATGACCTAATTTACTTTCCTAAGGTCCCTAGTTACCTTAATATTGTATTAGACGTCTTTATCCTTGTAAATTATGATATTACAAGATTATGGATGGGTTTTACAATCTTCAGGAACATAACTATCCATAAGAGAGTAATACAAGACCTTAGTATTGTAAACATCCGAGTTTACAAGTATAAGGACCCAATTTACCTTCCGAATGTTCCCATTTCCCTAATATTGTACTACATGTCTTTATCTTTGTAAATTACGATATTACAATATTAAGGATGCATTTTACAATCATATGGAACATAATTGTCCAAAACCGAGTAAAACAAGACCTTAATATAGTAAACGTTTGTGTTTACACATATAAGGACTCAATTTACTTTCCTAATGTCCCTAGTTACCTTAATATTGTACTAGACGTCCTTCTCTTTGTAAATTACGATATTACAAGATTAAGGATGCATTTTACAATCTCATGGAACATAACTGTCCAAAACCAAGTAATACGAGACCTTAATATAGTAAACGTTTGTGTTTACACGTATAAGGACTCAATTTACTTTTTTAATGTCCCTAGTAACCTTAATATTGTACTAGACGTCCTTCTCTTTGTAAATTACAATATTACAAGATTAAGGATGAGTTTTACAATCTCATGGAACATAACTATCCAAAATAGAGTAATACGGGACCTTAATATTGTAAACATCCATGTTTACAATACTAATGACCTAATTTACCTTTCGAATGTTCCCATTTACCCTAATATTGTACTACATGTCTTTATCTTTGTAAATTACGATATTACAAGATTAAGGATGAGTTGTACTAGACGTCCTTCTCTTTATACATTTATTGTGTTATTTAATTATAAATTAAATAGATGTTTACAAACTATTAACACAGGACAAAAATCGCATGTTTTTCACCAAAAAAAAATTATTAAATTTGGGGTTACAAAACTATTTCGAATGGGAAGTGAAATCTTGTGGAAAACGAAGCCAAACATTAAGAAAATAGGCATGCATGCATGTTTGCAATTTCAAACATACGGTTTGTCAATTGCATTATACTTGTCCAATTTCCTACACATTGTTTGTCAAATGCATTATGCTTGTTCAATTTCCAACTCACTGTTTGTCAATTGAGTTATTTCCTTTTCCTCCTAGGTGAGCCAATCTATCAGTGCCCTTTCCATCTTATGGTCACTTCCTTTCAAATTAACTCATTCAATCCATTCACATACAACAATAGACGATCATATTTGACATCATTATAGAATAAGTTTGTAGCATCAAACAAGTTACATAAGTTCAAATCTACCACAAAATATATAATCTCACTTATGAACGTATACCACAAAGACAAAATACTCATAATACAATTTATGTTTTCTTCCTTAGCCTTAGCCTCTTACTAATAGGGCGTGGTTCTGGTTCCGGCAAAGAGGTCTTGCGTTTTTGTGGTGATGCTTTGCCTTTCCCTTTAATTGCAGCTGCTTTTTCTTTGGAATGCACCGCCCCTCCTTTAAATTTTGTTTTCACCACAGCTCCTTTTCCCTTTGTGTTAGGGGGTGGTGACTTGGTTGTGGTCTCCTCCACTAATACCTGATCTTCCTCGTCCTCCTGGTCATTTTTCGGGTCATTTTCGTCCTCGTCCCCGTTTTCCTCGACCTCCTCATCTTCCTCATCCTCCTCACCATCCTCGCAAGTGCACATTGTGAACAATAGCGCACATATTGAAAAATAGTAAACGGTGCAAGTAAAGGATCTTGCCCA